AAGGCTATTAATAATAGCAATATAAAATTTTTAAAACCACCAAAAGGTTGTGATTTGAAATAAATTAAAGACTTGGTAGATGAAGGCATATAATTTTTATATATATAGTTTTGTAAAAAATTAGCATGTTGTTCTTATTTGCAGGGAAATACCATTTGGTTGATGCTTGATATCTTAATGAGTATGGGTATTTGGGTCCCTATAAATATGAGGTGTATCACTTACAAGAATTTAGAAGTCGTGGACAACCAAGTGGTCTAGAAAAATTGTTTAACCATGCACACTCATCACTACGAAATGTGATAGAAAGTTCTTATGGGTATGGAAACAGAGGTGGAAAATTTTACAAAATATGTCTGTTTATCTATATAAAATGCAAGTTGAGATTGTAGTTACATTAATAGCACTACATAAATATATTAGAAGGGGATCACAAGATGACAAGGGTTTTTTTTTTTTTGTATGTTTGCAATCTCAATTTCATTCCAGATGACTTTTTACTTGATATTGTATCTCGCTTAGCTATTCAAGGATCACAAAGACCTTAATGTATGGATTTTGTACATGATGGAATTGCAAATAGTTTGATAGGACAATGAAAAACTTTTATTAATGTATAAGGATTATTTATTTTGTTTTGTAATCATAATTATAAAACAACAATGTTTTGCCATTATACACACACACACACACATACACACACACACAATCAAACCTCATAAAAAAAGAAGAAGCATATTAACTAAACACAAGAAACTGCTTTTTTTTAACCTAAATTTCAACCACAGTTTCAACCAAACACATCAAACTTTAAAACAAACCTCACAAAAAGCACTTTTTATTAAACTGTTTTTTTTAAACCACTACCACAAAAGCAACTACAATACCAAACAGAATCTTCTCTTTCAGGTTCCTTTCTTACTCTTTTCTTATTTAGAATTTGGTTTTTAACTAATTTTAAACATTACAGGTCTTTATTTTCCATTTCATGTGATATTTTATTAAGTTTAGCCATAATAATAATATTATATTATTTTTTTCTTTTTTTATTAACATGGATATCTTGCCAGTTTGTACATACCTCGACTAATATCATAAACCTTGAAGTTAATGACTGTGTAAATCTCAAACAACCTTGAGGTTGGTGGGACTCGAATTGGTGACCTCTAGAAAGTAAACCTAAGGCCTGAGTAGTTGAGCTATACCCATTAGAATTATTTTTTTGTCCTTTTTACATACGTACATAATGGTGATAAACAAATTATAAGCTCTAAATTAACCTCATTTGGCTACATCGCTCTCTGTAATATTGGTGAACCAATGCTAGTTGTGATAATTTTCAATTGAGATATGCTAATGTAGAACGGAAATTGTTATAAATGTGGATTAAAAGTCTTAGTAATTTAATTTTAATTCAGATGAAATAAAGCAACAAAAATTGATATGTGAAATGTTAACTAGTGATAAATCATGTAAAATTTTCAATTGGGTAAAATAATTATTTTAAAGAAAGAATTTTTGTAAAATTAGGGTGAAAATATTTAGAAAAATAGAAGAGAAATTTAAATAAATTAATGTTTGATTTAATACACTAATTCAAATTTTGGCATAAAAATCATATATTATCTAGTTTTCTGATATCAAAAAAATCTCTTAATCCAACTGTTGGATCAATCTAAAATTTTACATGGAATCTCAGAAAATAATTTTTTATATTGGATTAAAATTTCAGTATAGTTAGAGCTCAGGAAAGCCCTATGAGAAAGCCTTGGGAGATTGATGATAATTGAACAAAAGGACAACATATAGACTCATTAATGACATCATCATAATTTTGGCCAAATCCTTCTTTTTTAATATTGTTCTAGCCAAGAGCTATTTAAAAAAGGAAGAGTTACATTTTTTTTTCTCATGTTGTCTTGAAAATGGGTGCTTATTCTTCCAACAACATGGGTCATAAAATGTGTGAGGATGATTTTTACTAAGAAAACTCATCAAGGAAGAAACACCAAAGAAAAATGGGTTAGGAGGAGATAAGTTAGAGAGGGAAAATGCTTACGGTGAAGGGGGAGTTTGGGTTTTGAAAAGAGGAGGAGCAAAATCCTTGGAGGTATGGTGAGGAGCTTATTAAATTGATTTTGAAATCTATTGGTAATATATTCTTTTCTACTTATTTTCTAGTTTAACGAATTTAATGGTGTAAAAATAAAAAAGCTCTAAATTGTTAAATTTAGGGTTGTTGAAACTAATTACAAAAAAAGAGAAATAGTTATTAATTATGTAATTTGACATGAAATGGGTGTAATATAGGGTATAAATGATGGTTAAAATTTGATGTGGCATGTGTGTGATGTTTTGGTATGATGTATGATTTTCATGTTGGATTGGTGTTGTAAAGAAATTAAAAAAAGAAATATGAAAGCCTAAGATATGGTTAGTAAGGTAGAGTTTTGTTTGGGTGTATGAATTACATGCATGGAAGTTTAGAAATTTGTTTAAATTGTATAAGAATTTGTTGAATTGGATTGCGTGTGATATTTTGGTATTTGTAGTATAGAAATTAGTATACTTTCAAAAAGATATTGATGAAGCTATGAAAATTTGTGTTTTGTGTAGGAAATGAAAGGGCAAACATGGCAAGTGTTGTTGTGAAATTGAGTTAGAATGTATGAAATTATTTTGGAAGTGTTTTGGAAGAATTAGGTGAAATATTGTAAAATTATATGTTAACTTGATGTGTATGAATTTAAGAAAGATTTTTTGTTGGATATGTGGATTATATGTGGTGTGAGTGTTTGGAGGAAAATTGTAGACCTGAAGTTTAAATGAATTTGTGAAATTGAATGTTTATGGTGTAATATGAAGGCATTATAAATTGTAGATGAAATAGACTTCTTGGTTAAATGAATTCTTGATATATTGTGATATATGTTTGGAAGGTGTCGGAATGAAGTTTGAAAACTTTAATGTTGAAATCGTTAAATGAAATGTGTATTATGTTTCATGATTAGAAGAAATATGTCTAAGTTTATGTTAAGGAATTTATAACAAATTGTGAATATTGTTCAAATTGCTTAAATTGCTATTTTTATAGAATTTTAGAAAATTTGAGAAGTTAATCATGATAATCTAATTAATTTGCTTTGTCCTAGATACTAAACATGTTGATGTTAAGTTGGAATTATTGTGTATATGGTGTGATGATGATGTTCTTGTTTGAGTTTCATATATGGTGTTTATGGTAGTTATTTTAAATGTGTAAATGGTTGTTAATATATTTATGGAGATTGGGTATGTTTAAATACCAATTATAAGATAGTTTAAATCAAATGTCTACTTGTTATTTTGAATGTGCAAGTGTTTGTTGATGTATTTATGGGAATTGGGTATGTTCGAATATCAATTTTAAGATATTTTAAATTAAATGTTAGAGAATAAAATTTATTGAAGAAAAAAAAGTTATTTGGACATTAATATCTTTGAAGGAAAAAATTAAGTTAGTTGCACATGAAAATTCATCGATGAAAATGAATAATAAAATGTTTAGATATTAAGTATTATAGTAAAAATATGGGATATTGTAAAAGAATTAAAATGATAAATAAAAATAATATATTCATGAAATTATTTATAAAAATATTTAATTATGTGAATTAATAAATATAATAAATAGATAAAAAAATACTTGGATATTAATTTTGCATCTTCTATCGGTATGTAGAAGAAGAGTTTGGAGTGGAACTCGACATCTTAATAGTGTGGATAGCAGGAGTTCTAAGCGAGGATCATTCTCTTGCTTATTAAATTGCATGATAATATATATTATATAAATATTATAGGTTTGGGGCAGGTTATACGAACATCATCCTTTGTTAAAAAATCAAGTAATTTTTTTTTCATGAGAAAATTTTTGTTTTATAGGGAGAAAATCCATTTATTATAGGGTTAAAATTTTTTGACATCGCATTTATTTCTATTTTATATCTTTAATATCTAATGATATATTTTACAGTGTAATTTTATATCCTCAAATAATAAAGTCTATAACTAATTCCTCACATTTATTATTATTAAATTAAATTAATTTAATACCAGAAATATACAATATGTTGTGATATTGTTAAAAAAAACATATTTTTTAAATTTTTATAATTTTGGAGAAAAACTAGATATTTTGAATATTAAATCAGTATCTTACAGTGTAAATATATATTCTGACATTAGATAAATTTTTTGAAGAAAAAGATAATTTTTTTGTATTTTTAAAATAAAAAATTTCTTTTTTAAATTTTTTTCAAAGTTTCAAAGAAAAAACAAATATTTTTAATATTATATCGATATCATATAGAATAAATCTACAACCTTATATTAGATCAAATTGTTGAAATAATATGAAAGGACTCACAAACAATAAAGTCTATAACTAATTCCTCACATTTTTTTCTAACAAATAATTTTAAAATAATCCTTCAAGTTTTTTAAAATTTTTTGGGCTTGTTTGCAAAAAACACAAAAAAAAGAAGAAAATAAACATTATGAGAAATCCATATATATGTTTATCATATATATTTTTATATTATATTTATTTGAAATATATTAAATATTATTAGCAAAATTTTTTTATCTTAATATATTAAATTTAATTAAATATTATAAAAAAATTTATAATATCCAAGTTTTATTTCATATTATATTTTTATTAATTTCTTATTTATATATTTTATTTTCTCTACTATAATTACTTGGTGATGCATCATGAAAACAGCGTAAAAAGATTCCTATCATGAATTCAACCTGGTTAGAGAGACGAGAAAATTTCTTACAGTCATTTGAGCAGCAGTGCAAGAGGATTTTGGCATCAAAAGCGAAGGAGAAAGGGCAATGCTCATTTCTTTTTCATGTAAATTTTCTTCTTCTTTCTTTTTATGATAGCTCCGCATTAATCACTATACCTGTACTGGCGGTGCTCTTCGATCATGTTTAGATCAAACACTTTACACGCGAACTTACCTTTCATTTCATAGCAAAAAAGATATTACACAAATGCACAATCAACACTTGATGCCTACAGTGTAGCGCGGAGATCACAGCTAGTAAGAACTACCGATGACAGAGAATTGTAATGATACATGAAGCAAGCAAGCATTACCAGGACAGAAACATGTTTACATGGTCTCAACAGTTCCTTTCCTGGCTTTCATATTTTTCTGCTTTTCCAAGCTCTTTTGGATCCAATGGTGAGTCCTGTCAGAATAAAGATTCAGGAGAGCAATGACATCCTGGGGTCAACACCCTGTGAAGAGAAAAAGATATGGTTTAGATCCCAGAACGGCTCTGAACAGCCACTCCCTCCTCCTGTTGATTCGGATCATCAAGGCACTCAGTTGATCGCCCGTGTTCTTCGAACTTTTCATTACAGTTGCTCAAAACCACCTCCATCTGTTGATTGAGATCTCTCAGATACTCTGTCGAATCGTTTTCATCTGCATCGTAGAGGTCTTCAATCGAGGGTGTCCTTTGTCGTTGCTTTAATTCTTCAAAACTGCTTTCATCTCCTTGCAAAACCCTTACAACCTGCAGAGAAATCTAGCTTTTAAAAAACCAAAAAAAACAACTGTCGAGGGATTTCTAGGGAAAGAAATATACATGGCTCATTTGAGGTCGCTCTGAAGGAGATTGATGTATGCACATAGAAGCTGTACATGCCAGACGATCCATCTGTTCTGAGTCATAGGCATCTGCGAGGATTGGATCAACAAGCTCCTCTATGCTGTTATTCAGTAGCAAAGGCTTGGCCTGACAACAACATTGGTCAAAACTGCATAAATTCTTGGTGGAAATACAACATAAGAGACTTGAATCACGCAGAATCAGAAAGAAGCAGCATACATACCCACATTACAAGACTGTGCTGTGAACTATCTAAGGCTTGCCTTCCAGTAATGAGCTCTAATAACAGAACACCGTAAGCATAAACATCTGTCTTCTCATCCACTATTCCATGCATGAAGAATTCAGGAGGAAGGTAACTGTCAAGATAAGAAATGAGATCAGATTGCAAGGCTAAATCTTGATGATTCAGAGACCCTGCCCAAGTTTTGGATTACAAACCCAAAAGTGCCTTCAATTTTTGATAGAGTGTGATGAGACCACTCCTCTGGTAACCATTTTGCAAGCCCAAAATCTGAAATCTGACATAATTTGAAGTTCCGAATTCAGAGATTAAGGGGAGATCATTTAGGTGTTGCATATTACAGCAGTAAGAAGTTAAGTTTCAGGAAACCTGGGGCTCAAGATCCTCTGTTAGCAATATATTGGAAGCCTTGATATCTTTGTGGATGATTCTCCTCTGGCACTCCTCGTGAAGATACAGAAGGCCACTAGCAGTTCCAAGGGCAATTTTATATCTGATTCGCCAGTCCAGCTTTTCCTTGGGGCCTGGCAACATTTGGTAGGAAACAAATTGATACATCATTTTGGTGAAAAACTAGTGGAGATATGAACTTCACAATAATCTGGATAATGAACACACCATAAAGTAAAGATGCAAGGCTCCCATTGGCAGATAATTCAAGGACAAGATGCATCCCCCCTTCAACCCCATATCCAATCACTTTGGCAATATTAGGATGGTCAACATGGACTATAATCCCAAGCTCCGATAAGAAATCGACAGTCATATCTTCTGGTGAACCTCTGGTCAGCCGTTTAATTGCAACGAACTGCCCATCTTCCAATTTCCCTTTGTAAACTTCAGCATAGCCTCCTTCTCCAATTAAATTTTCTTTATGAAAGAAGACAAGGTATCGTGAGCATATTGAGATCGAGACAACCACAACTACAAATACTACAACATAGCAAAGAGTACATTGTATTTGGAGGTGCAGACTTTACCGCGGAATTCGGTAATAAAGTTTTTGAATCTCAACTCAAAGAAGGTGAAAAGGGATACGAAGCACAAATATAAATTCTGAAAGAAGCATAAACCTTGGCTAAAAGTATCAGTTGCAGTATGGAGCTCTGAGAGAGAAAAGTTCTTCCAAGAAGATTTGAAATGGCAGAATTCACCATCTAGTGGAGAAGTTAGAGTTGGAACAATCTCCTCTCTGAATCTTCTGCTTCTGCTTTTCCGTTTACTTAGCTTTGGTGTATCTTTCTTCAGAGGAGGGAGGGGATGGCAGCTCGCTGCAGGTCCCTTTTTAAATACGCGAAGGAAGTCACGCCAGGGAGTGGTGGCGTTCGGTTGCCCTTCTGAGCCTGAAGTGCTGGCCCTGGGAGAAGTTGCTTCAGATTCATAGCTATTTGAAGTGCTTGCCTTGGAAGAAGTTTCAGATTCTACGCCAACAGAGCAATCTTCTAGAACTCCTCTTGGAGAGCACTTTTCCGTTCCATCCTTGGTCTCCTTTTCCTCCTCCTCCTCCTCCTCCTCCTCCTCCTCCGCCTCCACGGCGAAGGATTTCTTATCTGATACAGAAGCTTTCAAATAATAACAATAAGAAAACAAATCGACAGAGTTGCATCAAACACGAAGGAAAAGATAGTAACTAAGTACTTTACCATGAGATGAAAACGAGTCAGAAAACCTTGATCTCGTTAGTCGTTTGCGCCCAACAGGAACAGCTTTCTTTTCTTGATTTTCTTCAATAGTGTCCTGGGAACCATTACTGCTAACACAAGTTTGTGTCATTAGAACAAAACAGTGATTGCGCGAAAACCCAAAGGATCCAAAGCAGGTTAAAACAACTCATGATAACAAAAAGGCCAACAATTTAGTATGGAGATAGTGAGATATTATGACAATATGATTATGTAACATCTGACTGAAGAAATTAAAAGAAAACCATCGCGAGACATCGTCTGTAAAACAACACAAAAGGCGCCTAAAATGACAGTCGAAATGACAAAAAACTTTTCCCGTCACCAAATTCTTTTCATTATCTTATCTATAACAGTCGAAATGACACAAAAGTTCTGGTACTAATTCATCCACAACAATGTGGTAACTCTATACAATCTGTAACACTCTTAAACTCCAATTAGAACCAGGAAAAATAAGGCTGTAGAGGATATGAAGAAAGTACCACAAAGAAGCTGAAGGTTGCTGGACATCTTCCATGATTTTTCGAAGAGGTGACCAAATCGAAGAGATGATACAAAACCAATAAGGAAACGGAGGAAAAGCGTGTGAGAGAGACAGACAGACAGAGAGATGAAAGTAGCGGTTGGCATGATTTCTCTTTGCTTCTCTAAATATTCCCCATTACTTGTTTTTGACACTTCTTCACCTAATTTGGATGCCCTAAATTCGGCTTTTATCTGTCATTAAGAGTTTCTCCCTCCCTGATTTGTTGTCGATTGCTCTATAATAAATTTTGAGTTTATCAGCTTAAATTTTTATAGATAAAATTAGTAGATTGAAGAAGGCTTGTAAGCAAGCACGTCCTCTTAGTTTGCCGGGAAAATCTCTTTAGTGTTCTCTAGAATCTCTACTGGGTTCTTGCCACGTTAGTGTAAGACAATTTCTCTCTTAAACGCGGGAAAGGAGTACCCGAATCAACGAAACGGCTGGATTCTCTGCAAATTAAATGACCGTTTGATTGGACAGAACAATATAGGCACCAAAAGTAGTCATGCTTTAAGTGGTAGACGATCTAATTCCAACAACCACATTTTTTTTTTTCTGGGTTAAAATCTTAGGATAAAAATAAGATGAGTTCCTTAAGTTCTTTCTAAATATATCATTTTATTGTGAAAAGATGTGTTCTTAACATTATCAGGAAAATAATAATAATAATAATAATAATCTTGATTAGCACAAAAATATTCCTCGCTCTTAAATAAAAAGAAAGGGCATTAGGTTTTAATTTGAAGGTTTTAAAATATATATATGTTCCAACATAAAAAAAAATTCTAATGCTAGCGTTCTTAAAATAAATATGAGACTTGAATGTCGATTTTAATAAATTTGATTAGTTTAATAATATAAACAAAAAAATATAACGATCATAAATAAAGTGAAAAAATACAACAAAATAAAAATAAAAAAATCTCATCTAGGTTAGCACATAAAATATATGACTTGGCCAAGATACTAGGGTAACCCTGTCAAAAAAAAAATTAATAAAATTATAAAGTTTAATTATAAAAAACTATTATAGAACTAAACTGAAAAAAATATTTAAAAAAAAAACTATAAAAAACTCTAAGTCAAACTAAATTAATTTGATAACCCCACGATTATAAGCATAAAATTGAGATAATCCTATAGAAAAGAAAGTAAAAAAAAATACATGAAGATCAATTCTTAATCAATTAAATATTAATGGATAAAATTGAAAAAAAAATCAATTAAAAAAAAAAACAAATGTTAAAGGATCTCATTCGATAACGAAGAGAAATTAAATAAAAATATAATAACCTCATATAAATTAAAATGAAAAAAGTTTGAAAATCCATTTCTAGCAAGTTAAATATTAAAGGTGAAGATATAATAAAATAAAAAATAAAAAAAATCAACCCGAGTCCACTTGAGTCAGCAAGCAAAATTTGTGACTTTGTTGTGATACTGAGTAACTACATTGAAAAAAATTGAATAAAACTATAAAATTAAATTATCAAAAAATTTAATATTGAAGGATGAGATAACCTAGATTATATTTTAAATCAATAAAAAATAAATAAAAGAAAGGGCAACATCTAAGCTATAATTAAATAAATATTGAATGATAAAACTAAAAAATAATGAGCTTAAAATAAGTTTAGAAAACTTGTACAAATCTTCTAAATTTAGGTTAATTTTCTAAATTCATAACTTGTGAAATCCTAAACCTGAACTCAAGTAAGAAATTTAATTCTCAACCAATTTAATATTGAAAAATAAAATAAAAAATCAATTAAAATAATGTTTTTATGTAAAAAAAAATAGCAATAAAAGAATGCAAATTAAATCTAGGAAAAAAACATCAAAAGAGAATGAAATCTAAAAAAAAAATCAATTCTAAAAATTATCTCAAACAAAGAAAATAACAATCTAAATAATGGGAACAAAATATGAAAAAAAAATTAAAGGATGATGAAATTGAAAACAAATTCTAATTTTATAAATTATTTCATGTAAAATAAATAATAATTAAAAGAATAACAACCAAATCTTAAGAAAAAACAAATTGAATGACTTTTTTAAAAGTTTAAAGAGTCAAGCACACAAATCAATAAGGAGAGAGAAAAGAATGAAAAAAATAAAAGGTCATCAACACTAAAGTAGAGATTTATTGATAAAGCACGCCACCACATCATGGAGAAGTCGCCAAGACAATTCAAATTTAACCACAATAGGCTGTGTTTGGTTAACAAACAGCATTGCTCGCACAAAAACATAAATATAAAGTTTAAAGAGTCAAGCACACAAATCAATGAGGAGGGAGAAAAGAATGAAAAAAATAAAAGGTTATTAACACCAGAGATTTGTTGATAAAACATGTTACCATATTATGGAGAAGTTACCGAGACAATTTAAATTTAACCACAATAGATTGTGTTTGGTTAACAAATAGCATTGCTCGCACAAAAATATAAACATGCATATAATTGTTTTTTAATAATATTTATATTTATTAAACTATTAAATAACCCCTAAATGAACCTAATTATAACAATAATAACAAAAACCTTCATGAAAAAATAAAAACACCCTTGGATGACATCTTAAGATACTTTTATAATTAAATCACTTTACAATGCTTCTAAGATAATTAAAACACGTTGCCGTGTAAAAACAATGTGCTAAAACCCTTTTTTGTACTTTTATAAATTCAAATCTTAAGAGAGAATTTATCAAAATCTTCGAAATACATCATAGCGGAGGGAAAGGCACACCCTTGAAATTATATGGAAAGATTCCTAGTCTTGATTAACAAGCAAACTGGCCCAAGAACACACCAATCATAAAATAAAAGGGGAAGAAGAAAAAAACATATATTGGAGCTAAGAAAATAAGATACTAACTTGGTAGCATCATTTGAAGCTAAGAGAACAGAAACAGGAGGAATTAAGGAAAATAAACATATAAATGAAAATGAAAAACTGAAGAGAAGATCATAAATTATCTGGAGATTGATGTTTTCTGCGCTGGATAGCGCACACCACAAGCAACGCATTACCTGAAAGCCTTCCTTCGGGTTGTCAAATGCCTATCTTGCAGCAAAACTTGTACTCCCACTGCATTATAGATCTATCTCGATCTCGTAATCAGGGTTTCTCAATCAAGCCGAAGATTCATAGGCTTTTTAATGAATGAATAAAAAAATTGCATAGGCATTCCATTATTTTCATTTTTTTATGACAAAAGTACACAATTTCCTCCTTAATCCTGGAATTACAGACAGTTATA